CAACCGACATCATAGTTTACGCGTATGCAAGTCCGTTCACCCAAGAGCTTTCCTTCTTCTTCAAGCGTTTGCTAAAGAAGACTGTCAAGAAGGGAATTCTGGTTCTGACAAGTGCTGTTAATTCCGACAAGGTTGACAGTTCTAGCGAAGTGTCCTTGCCCTGTGCTCTTGCCAACGGCCTTCCTGGAGTCCTCTGCGTTGCTGCAACGCATTCCAACAAGACGACGGTCCTCGCAAACGACGCCTCAAAGCTCGCTAGTTTTGGCTTGCCCGGCACGGAAGTCTTGAAACTGACACCCGAGCGCGAGGGAGATGATTGGGCCTTTTTGATGGGTCGAGGCTCGTCGTTCGCGACAGCAACTGCCGCTGGTGTAGTGGCGTTAATGAAAAGCTTCAAAAACTTCTCACCTGAGGAGACTGAAGGAATGTTATTGAACTCCACGGAAGATGCAGTGACGACCAAATCGGGCAGCAAGATGACATACGGTGTTCTTCGACCCGATCTCGCTATTGAACAGGCAATAGTTCAAGTCAGGAAGTCCCGGAGGGCATTGAATACAGTGGGGGCTGGGGCCCGGTAACAAGAACGCCGTGAGGTGTCAGTTGACGATAGGGTACTGCAACTGCGTGGTGGCAGTGCATAACTTTTTTCTTTCCTTCTTCTCCTCTGCTCTTCATATAGAACATACGTGTGACCGGTTGTCCTGCTCTGGCCTTCTTGTGTTGCGTAGTAAACTAGCGCGGACGTCTCAGGTCTCCCTCTCCAGCGCACACGCGAACATTTGTGATTTTTGATGGAGTGCGCTCGTGTTGGGGAGTAGTTCTTTCAGACTAGCAAACAAAGTCCTTGAACTATCCTGTATCCTAATCGATCCATATTCTCACTGGGTTCTTCGAAAGGTCAATAATATCCTGGCTGTTGTCACGGGACAGGTGTGGATGCGTGCAGTTTTCCTCCGTCGTGAAAAGAAGATACATGCATGAGCACGAAGCCGTCCTGGAGGCTCTTTGCTGGCTGTAACTGCGGTCTCTTCTGAGAACAATCAGCTTTTTGGTATTCAGAGCAAATCCTATTCCAAACCTCGATCGAACATTTGCTCCCAACAGTAATCGTAATTGCCTAATCGGTATGGCCGTACATATCCTCACAGACAGTTGTCTCTCTCCTGGCGACACGATCGATTACCATGAAGCTAGACGAGAGCCCCACAGCAGAGACCACTCTGCTTTGTCTCTTTGACAAGCACGAGTGAACTGCATGACGGACCGTGGACTCGGTGACAGCAGACTCGCCCTGTTGCACTCTCGATCGACAAGGCCCCGCGTACCTCTGTTGCCAGACCACGCACATCACTGGTCCTTCAGTAAGTTGGAATTCTTTTCAATAGCAGCCGTGATGAGTTCCTGCTCTACCAATCTTCGCCTCTGCTACTTCCTGCTGGGCATGGTCTACATCACGCAAATGTCGGTGGCGGTGAGAGACGATGGTCTCTCCGTTATGGCTGACTCCCCGCCGGGTTGCCACGGTGGTGACGACTCTCCCCCGGATCCAGGCAACATCTTCGTGGTGCCGGGCGCCTGTGCTTACGTTCTGTCCGGCACTAACGCCAACGGGGATCCGGTGACAAGCACCGGAATCTACCTTAAAAGTAACAGCCCTGGCGTTCATGACAAAATGACGATCCAGCTCACAGTTGACGGCGAGAACACTTACCTGGAGGCGAATGGGTCGACCAGCAGGATGTTCAGCCATCGTGGCATTGAGTTGGTGTGGAAGCCGACACCGATCAATCGGGTGTTCCGTGACCGCGGTGGGGAGTTCTTCCTCATTGAGCTGCCGTCCTCTGTCTCTGGAGAAGTTTATGGTGAAAAAGCTTCAACCTCATCATACAAGATCTACGGCACCGCAACGACTTCCAGCGTGGAGTTTTACACTTCCAAAGACGGCGAGAATGAAGAAGGGGAAGTCATCTTTGCTGCCAGTCAACGGATCATGTTTTTCGCAAGGGAGGGCGGCTGGGAGTTCGCTGTGATTTTTGCAGCCTGGTATGACGGCGAGATCACTACGTGGCTCATTGCTGACGGGGTTCTGCACACATGACAGTTGGGTTGTCGAAGGTTAAAAACCCCAGTCTCATATCGACATATTTTTCTTTTGCCTGTACCAGTCGATAGTCGACTCTGCTGCTACTTTTCTTATGAGCAGCTTAGCGTGATGACGTCGCGGCGATGATAGCGTGGCATCATGAAGCTCCCTCACATACTTCTTCTTGGCTTCACTCAAGTTTTTCATATCTCACTTGCGAGTTGTGCTGGGAAATAGTTAGGCTGTTGTTAAAACCAGATGTGCAGTTCAAAGTGCGCCGCCGTAGACAGTCCCGAAGGCCTCGGGCCGATGCCAATCGTCTTATATCATTATCAGATCTGATGATCTCTTCAATAGTGTAAGAGAAGCGATTGGAGAACCTGGCTCAGACAGGGAGGAAGTCTCGAACGGGAGATGTAGGAGAAGAGTGAGGTCGTGCATTCGTCAGCTCCCTGGAGGCTTGGCCATTCACGGGCTAACCGGATAGGGCAGCTCATACCACTCCGGTGGCCCGGCCCTGAGCCATGCTCCATACGCTCCTCGTCAAAGGCACAGAAATTGACTCGCATCCGATTGACATAATGCAATAAGCTCATCATTGCTTCGTTGTGGTAACGTCATTGTCGTCGTCGGCGAGACGCGAAGCAACCCTCGGTGTGCCCTACAATACAGATAGTACTACGAGTCCTTCTCGCTCACAACTCAGCTGCAATACACTTGTGAGGAAACTCTAATCACTGAAACGTGTCTTCCTCGACATCACTCTGTAAATGCTCGGCGATAACGCCGCCCACTACACTAGCCGCTCGCCGTACCTGAAGCGCAACCTTACACACTAGCACCCGCTCAGAGACGCCACCTCCTCCTCTGTCGTCATGCGGCCGATGGAGAACCTGAGGGTGCCGAGGCCCCAGGACGGTTCAACTTTCATCGCATGCAGTACGGACGACAGAACATGCTCTCCACTATGGCACGCTGAACCTGATGGTGGTGTTGCCTCCCCATACTGAGTACCGCCACGGCCCTCCACGCCCACCTGCGCTGATGCCGACCCGGTCACCGAGCTCCTTCACAACGTCCGCCCCCTGCATGCCTTTGATGCTGATGCTGAGCGTATTGGCTAACACTGGGCAACTCTGATCCTGCGGTTTAACACTCGCTATCAGAAAGCTCGTGTATGTTCCTCACATCAAGCGGCGTGTTTATTCGGACCGAGTCCCAAGCGCCTGGCCCGGCCTCGAGAGTAACGGCCTCCTTCAAGGCCTCCAACAGCAGCTGGCGCATCGAACTGAGGCGACGTGTGCTGGCGAGAGGGCCTCGAGGAACCCCTCACCTCATGTGCTCCATATACATGGCGAGGTTGTCGTGTACTAACTCACAGGCCTTGCCGAAGGCTACTATCCACGGGACGTTCTCTGTCCCACATCTCTCGCCAAATTCCTGATATACTACGTACGATCATCGGCCATCCCGTAGGGATCATTACCTGTCCGCCACCATGCATGAGCTGCTCGATGACCACGCCTGATGGAGCGACCAGCGCACCGATCCCCTTAGGTGCATAGAACTTGTGCCCGGCTAGGGTGATCAGATCGGGGTGCCCCAAGGACTCGACGGTAAGAGGGTATTTTCCTGACGTTAAGGATCAGACCATGGCGGATACGGGTTCCTCTACCGGCGCTCTGACTCGCATCAGTGTGGACGATGACGTTGCCGTCAACTGCCTCCACTGCAGCGACGATATCGGCAATCGGCTGGACCGTCCCCACTTCAGCGTTGCCGTGTTGAATCGACACTAGCGCGGTCTGAACGGCGGTCGCATGAGGGACTGGCAAGCACGGCCTTCAAGCGAGTTCCCCTACCTTCCCAGGCCGTATCAACGACTTCACCTTCATAGGGTCCACCCTGCCTTTGGAATCAACTGGACACACTTCACAGTCAAAGCCGTGCACACTGGCCAGCCACTTCACGATCTCAAAAACGCATACGTGCTGAGGAGGCAAACCAAGTGTTCAGCCCGTTACGGAGACTAGTGCTTCCTCACCTCAACGGCACTGATGAGTATATGGTTCCGCCCACTATCCTCCCGCTGCTTGAATGCAGCCCCCTTGATGGCCCAGTTCAGAGACTCCTGTCGCCCCCGACGTGAAGAAACACCTGAGGGTCCCAATTATTTCCGCCCATGTTTGCGAACATCAAACTCGGCAAATACCACCACGCCACGAAACCACGATTCCTTTGCGTGCTGCGTGCCAACAAACCAACGCTGGACTTACACTGGTGTCATCGCACCCGAGTAACGTGGCGACCCTCCCTCGTGCTTCATCCACCGCGGTTCGAGCATGTCTGATCGAGATGACGAGAAGGCCTTCTTTTCTCGCCCTCTACTAGTCGCGCCTCCGCACGCCTTCGAACCCTTCTCATTCCAGCGTATGAGTCTGCCCGTAGGGCCCTCTTCCGGTGTCACTACCTTCCTTTCGCATGTGAACTGCTGGGATTACCAAAATTCTGCCCTCCCAAATAAGGCATCAGCTCGTTCAACACCTCGGGGTCTACTGGGGGTAGTTGCGTTGTAGTCGAGATAGACGAAGGGTTCGACCGAGGGCGGCATCACTCGAGTAGGATAAAACGATAACGACTAACTCTGAGGCCTGTGAACCGCACTGACAACACCAATTGGAGTACAATTGTCTGGGACCACGGCCTGCAGCTACGTGAGATCTCACTGAACGCTCCTCCCGCTCTCGATTCAGCCAAAACTGCTGGGGCAAGGCTAGCAAAGACTCACTCGAGCGTGGTGTCAGCACGGTGCTTCGTATGCATCAGCTGTGTGCATGAGAAGCTGACGGGGACCTAACTGCACCCCTCAGCGCAACTTCAACTCAGTTCAACGCACACAGAAAAATGCGGAAAACGCACCGGAGGGCGAATCGAACGCCTGCGCCTCCCGACGCCCCAGGATTTGAAGTCCTGACCGAGCACCAGCCCGGGTCACCAGTGCATCTTAGATATTTCGATTCGTTTTTCTGCGGGGCCCAGGGTCGTCTCAGTATAACCGAACAATATGCCACCTCGTGTCGTTCAGAAGCGTTTTCTACGATGATTCTTTCTAGTCCCATATAAGGAGCTGCTGACGCCCACAGTCACGAATCAACTACGTGTTTGCGAGATGTCGTTAAAGACGACTTTTTTTCGAGTGGCGGTCGAGCACACGCTACCAGTGAACTGTATCGGGCCGCCACTGTACCGGAGTATCTCTCAGAGAACATCACCAACGCGGTTTGCGTCATCTACCTATCCGACGAGCATATTGGTGTGAACGTCCTGGCACACGTCCATGCTTCTTTGATTTTGCGAAGTACATCGCGCAATTCTCAATACACCTGTCAGTCTGCCGTGCGTAACAACGCTCTGATGCTTGTTGCACAGACTACAGCGTATACGCGCATCGGAATCCGTTTACCTCGAAGTCGAAAGAGAGATGAAGCCATACACCCATTCCGCACAACTGGATACCGCACCAACACGTCATCGAACCTCGTCATGGACCCCTCAACGCCACTTCGACCGGTACAGCAGACGTTCGGCAAATTCAGAAGGTAAGAGTGTGCGACAGCACGTAGTGCCCTTAGTGCCTGCGCTCTGTTACTTAAGACTCGTGAATGTCTGTCCAGCTCAAAGCACCGCCGTCTCATTCAACCGAGACTTCCTCCGGCTCACAATGCGGAATTTACGATGGGGTCCTGTTTCTATATACCCACCAATACCAATTTTCCCACAACGCCAACTACCGCCACCCACTAAGCCCTCGTCCACCTATGCCTCCAATAACTTAACAACTCAAGTATCACGAGTAGGAGTGAAGGAAGACTTCACCGACGAAAACGGTGATAGTTATGACTACAGGGGTAACCGAGCGGCAGCAGCAGCGGTAGCAGAGTGACTTGGAAATTACCAAGCATCAGCCCAGGAGTCTTCAGGAGGCGTCACAGCTGAGAAAACGATCATGAGGAGCAGCCTGTGAAATAACAGTTATTACATCGAGCTGGCTGAGGCCTGACAGCAGGCTTCTGATGCATATTAGCAGCTCGAGTGTTGACCCTGAAAGGAGTACCATAAATCCCAACATTCCCGCACCTCTCGTCCTTACACTGGGGCCGGAGGGGCTACACCAGGCCTGCCGAGGAAGCCAGCGCTCCTGTGCTCATAACGCTGGAAATCGCCACGACCAGTAGGCTGACGGACATCTCTACTGGCGAATCCACCACCACTTCGGCCTCCACCTCTACCCTTGCCACCTGAACCAGCACAACGTCAAAGACGGGCTCTGCCACCAATGCTATAATACCTCTTCCGAAGCGACCCGAAGCACTAGTGGTCTCCTGCACAAGACTCGTGAACCATTGAGGGATCTCCTGTTTGTTTCTCCTCCAACAACGTCTAACACACAGTCGCCGTCAGTAGCATGCAAAGCACAATGTACTCACCCATAGATCGCGGAGGATGGGCTTGCTTCCCTCATTCACAAAGGCAATGGCTGTTCCTAGGTTACCGGCTCTTCCCGTTCCTGCACAACAGAAGAGCCATCACTCGGTGCCCTCCTCCAGTCCGCCTCCTACTTCCGATTCGATGAACGTAGTCATCAATGTTATTGGGGAGATCATAGTTAATAACGAGGTTGACGTGACTGATATCCAGACCTCTCGCGGCGACATCAGTAGCCACAAGAATGGGCAACTCTCCCTGACAACAGCATCCCTCCCGCCGTACTAGCTGACCCTATCGCCGGCCTTCCTACGCTCTTAAAGGCCTTCAATGCTTCCTCCCGCTCCCACTGGGATCGATCACCGTGAATGGAGGTCGCAGGATACCTGCCAATTTCAATTCGACTCCACATCGCCCCCACGCCTCCTACCTGTCCCGTCTCAGCATGTTCTCAATCTCATCTGCCTTACGTTTGGTCTCCACGAAGACCTAGCAAAGAGCAATAGCCTATTTGCGCTCATCACCACCAAGCGTACCAGAGTCAGCCCTTCCTCAGTCTGCTCTTCCAGCACTCTGTACAAGTCCCGTAGCTTAGAATTCTCATCGACGTATCTTGCACATCAGCACATACGGACACAGGAACCTCCAATGATCCGCTCACCTCATGATCTGCTTGATTGACCCGTGTGTCGATCCAACACGGCCGACTGAAATAACAGACCATCCAATATCCACCAGCTGGAGCCTGTCCTCACCTGTGAGGTAGATGTAGTCCTTGAGGAAGTCCCGTGCTAGCTGCTGGATCTCTTTAGGGAAGGTTGCCGAGAACATCGCACCTGGCAGAAAAGGCTTCCCGCCGGCGGCTGCTCAGCGTCCTCGGCTGCTGCCTACTCTGTCTGCCGTCCCTGGAGCTGGGCATATCCTCCTGCTCCACAATACGTCTAATTTGCGGCTCAAAACCCATATCCAGCATCCGATCAGCCTCATCAAAGATAAGCATCTTGATCTGGCAAAGGGACACGCGGAACCTGACCAGGAGACGACGTCCACGCACTGGGCAGAGCTTGTACCATACACCTTACCGTTCCATCAGATCGGACAACCTGCCCGGAGTGGCAACAAGGATATCACATCCCCTCTCGAGCTCTCTGAGCTGAGTACGGACGTCCGCTCCTCCGTACACGACCACAGGGCGGATACCTGCCCGAGCGATTCAAAGACCAATCGAGGAAGCCATGACAAGTAGCCACCACACCTCCCCCGTACCGCCCTACCCGTATTAAAGCAGAATTTTCGAGCTTCCTCGTGAATCTGCGAGGCCAACTCTCGAGTGGGCGAGAGAATCTACCAGCAAACAGCTATCAACGCCCCCCTTCCTCAAGCCGTCGTCCTCCTCACCAGTGTGACGGGGTAGGCCTTCCTCCGACCGTAGTCGCCGCTAGAAGTAGCATTAGGTGGACCATCCTTAAGCATATTGTTTATAGCAGGAATGAGGTAGGCACCTACATGGGAACGGTGGAGCAGCAGCCGAAGGGCGGGTACTCGAAGTAGTACCAGTCTTGCCACTTCCAGTCTGCGCACAGGACATGAGATCGCGACGAGCGATGAGGGTGGGGATGGAGTACTTCTGGACGGGAGTAGGGCGGTCGAATCCGCACCTGATGATTGGACGATGGTCTGGCCGCTACTCAGCCCCTATTACCTCTTGATGTTCTCCACGATGGAAGATTCCAGCTCACCATCATTGAACTGCTCTAACGGGTGAATATCAGCGGCCCCCGCACCGGAAACTTCGACGGGGATCTTATCATACCTGAAGCATCCTAGTACAACATTACCACCGCCGAGGGGTTCCTACTGGTCGAAGTTGATGCCAGCATGAACAGTATTCTCCTGATCGAAGAGCTCCCTCTCATCCTCATAAGGAGGCCTTCGTCCATCTCGGCGGGCCCAAGTGCCATCGCCTAATATCGTAGTAGCAGTACGGTTGTTGATGGAGTCCTCCCGACTCACCTTGCGGCGGCGGTTGAGACCAATCGAGCCTGTCGTTGACGCCACGTGAATGTCCAGCGTAACTAAAAGATACTCGTACGGACCCCCTACCCTCCCACCCGACTATCACCTTGGCTTAGATCCGAACCCAAAGTGCTCACGGTCGCCGAAACGATCACGAGACTCGCCGAAGCGCTCCCGAGGGCCTCCGAAACGGGAAGAGCCACCACCTGACAGCAATGTATCCAGAGTCATTATCGATGGTTCTTCCACCCACCAAATCCGTGCTCGCGGGGCTCTCTTCCCTTCCCACCGCCGAAGGTTCTGAAAATCACCAGAATGATAGCGGCGACAGAGGTGAGTTCGACTAGTACGAATAAGAATCCCTGGATCCACCGAACCTGCTGGATGAAGACGTCTGTCGGTTAAAGGCGGATGGGTCGAATGCTTCTTCGAGATGACGTGTGCCGTGCTGAGGAGGGCAGGGATACTTATCCTATTGAATAAAGCTAGTTACGTGAGGGGCGGTATCGGCCTGGGCGCCCTCGGCTTGCATTTGTCTGCGTTTGTGAGGAGGTACGTACCTACACAAGAGCGGTTAATCTTAGTTCAATGATGAGTAGTAGTACTTGGCGGTAGCAGTGCCAGCAGAGGCCTGTGACTGAGGGTTCTTCGAGGCAGAAGAACCGTTCAAAGCTGCTGTGGCATCGTTAGTGTTATTACTAGAAGAGACGTGGTTCATGAAACGAATACAACTAAAATAAGAACAACAATGGCAATACGCTCCCAACCGTTCAGGGCGGCCTAGAGAATCTTGAGCATGATAGCTCACTTGTTAAAGGCAAGGAGCAACCTTGGATACTCGGCACGGATCAAAGTGTGCAGATTGAACTACAAAAATTCCACGAAAAACGAGAAAAATAGTTTTACAATCGAGTGCACTAACGAAGGGAAGGGATGGGTGTGTAATAGAAGCTCAGTGCCGCAAGAGGGCCCCTCCAGCCACCCGTGAGAGCCCCTCGGCTGCTCGACATGAAATCGCACAAGAAAAGTTACTTCGCTCCGCTAGCACAAATCTCGCCCGCCAAGTAGATCGATTAGTGTTGAAATCGCTGCCGATCTACCTCCATCAACCCCTTCGGAGACTTCCTGCCAAGGTAATGCTCGGGACCGATCTAATCGACTTCATTCATGGCTGGCTGTGGGCGTGGTATTGATTGTGAGGCTAGTCTGAAGAGTGCGAGCTTGGGGTGGTATGTTTCGACGTCGTGTAGTGCTGTGATGAGTGACTACACTAGCACGGTGGCGTCCTCGAACTGGATCGGGAATATTCACGGAGGCGATGGTGGTTGGGTGATGATGATCACCGACGTTATTCTTATCAGATGGTACGTGTGTCTGTGCTGCGTGACTGCCTCAACTCAATCTTGAACGCCGAGAAGGCCGGTAAGAGGCAGGTCCTCGTCCGACCTTGCTCCAAGGTCATCGTCAAGTTCTTGCAGGTCATGCAAAAGAACGGTAATA